AACTGATAGCTGCTGACAAATTCTGGGCTATGAACAGTTGTGGTGGGGATAGAGGAGAGCAGAAGCTGATAGAAACAACTTTTCTGTCCAATCACTGTTCTAACATGCATTCTGTTGGGCAACAATTAGAGATATGTACAACTTACTTTTCAACTTCTACCATGGCTATAATGGAGGGGAGTGGCATGTTGTACCCCCTCCCCCACATGGTGAGTTTTTGCAAATGGGTCTTTCAGAAAATCAGACAACATCAAAAGAGGGCTGGAGACAGGGTGGAGAATAGGAAGGACATAAGAGTGAAAGAAATGGAAAAGGGTGGTGGAGGAAGGAAAAAGGGTGTTAACGGTGTGGAAACTCAGTTTAGAATTATATTTTACAAACCTGACTGTAGGTATGGAAGCTTGGAGTACCTAAATCTGGATCTGTGAAAATGATCATGGTTTCAACCCACATCAATATAAGCTTTGTAGTTTATCGGGTGGAACCCTGTGTATGGGTGTACATCTGTATATAGTATATCACAGGCATAAGTATTGAGCCTTCTTTCAAATTGCTTCAGCTTCTCTGGAGAAGAGAGGTGGGACAAGCTAGTTTCTGCTTTTGTTCGAAAATCACTGTTTAATTCTAGTTAGCGCATCCGAATGTTGAACAGAACATGATAGTTAAAAGTGGGCAAAATTATCCACATAAAATAAAGGAATTAATGCTTAAATTGCTATCTCGTGTTTTCTTCTTATCAGAATCTGTATCTGAAACATCACTAGCCTCTGATTTTGATTATTCACTTTTATTTCTGTTTTTATTTCTATGAGCTTCCTTTATAAAAATTAAGACAGCGTTCCCTACTCTCATACACATTAGTTTATTTATTGATTTTTTGTGCATTTCCAAGAGCAGATAGCTTTTTCTTATGTTCAGCAGAGAAATTTGGATAGAATGAGAGGATTTAAGAGTTATATATACAGTGTACTGGAGTAATTGTTTAATATTATATATTCTTGCACAGATGCTAACTCAAAAACATTTTGAGGGAGGTAAGCTAAATCCTTGCTGTCAAGCGTTTAACTTGTTCTAAATGAAAAAAAAGAAAGGTTTTTTAAATTTCCTGTCAAGTTTTTTCCCCCATAAGGAAAAATACGAAGAAAGACTTCGCAGAATGAGTTCTATCAGTTGTTTCTAACCCTCACTTCTTTGTGTGTACAGTAGTGCCTAGCTTAATGATGATAATCCGTTCCAGGAAAATTGCTGTTAAGCGAAAACATCGTAAACCGAAATTAAAAAGCCCATTGAAAACCGTTAAATGTGTTCCAATGGACTAAAAACTCACCATCCAGTGAAGATCCTCCATACGGTGGCCATTTTCGGTGCCTTATAGTGAAGAATCCATCCCTAAGCACAGCGAGGAGCCATTTTAAGCATCCGGTGGCCATTTTGAAAACCCGACGATCAACTGTTTTTGATCGTCGTAAAGCAAAAATCGGTTCTCGAAGCAGGGAACCGATCATCGCTAAGCGAAATCCCCCCATTTAGACCATTGTTTTGTGATAGCAGTTGCGATCGCAAAAACATAGTCGTAAAGCGAATTTGTCGTAATGCGGGGCAATCATTAAGCAGGACACGACTACAGTGGTGCCTCGCTTAGCGATTGCCTCGTTTAATGATGTATTCATTTAGCGATGAGGTTTTTGGAGCGATTTTGCGCTCCGTTTAACAATGTTTCCTATGGGGAAAATTCGCATAGCGATGTTCGGGACCTTGCCTCGCTTAGCGATGACAGTTTTAGGTCCCCTGTTTCACTTAGTGATGTTCCATTTTCGCTATTTTAAAAGTGTCTTAAAAGGTTCAAAAACGGTTTTAAATGCTTTGATTCGTTAGAGCACCTTCTAAAACGTGTGCAAACTTAATTTGGCTTTGTTCTGAGTCTTCGTTAATTTTTGGCGAATTTCCCCCCCCCATTGGAAAGCATTGAACCCGATATTGACAGCTGTCAAATCTGCAGAACAAAGCCAAATTAAGTTTGCACACGTTTTACAAGGTGCTCTTACGAATCCAAGCATTTAAAGCAGTTTCTGACTCTTCGTTAATTTTTGGTGACTTTTTTTCTCCCCCATTGGAATGCACTGAAGTGCCCGTTTGACAGCTGTCAAAATTGGGTTCAATGCATTCCAATGGGGGAGGAAAAAAATTCACCAAAATTAACGAAGAGTCAGAACAAAGCCAAATTAAGTTTGCCCACGTTTTAGAAGGTGCACTAACGATCCCAAGCATTTAAAACCATTTTTGAACCTTTTAAGACACACTTAAAATTGCAAAAACGGACATCACAAAACCATTGGAATGCATTGAATAGGTTTCAGTGCATTCTCATAGGGGATACATTGTTTCGCTTAGCGATGTTTCCTATGGGGATTTTCGCTTAACGACCGTAATCCGTTCCCATTGGAACGGATTAACCGTTTTTCAATGCATCTCTATGGGAAAACGTTTTTCGCTTAGCGATGTTTTCCTATAGCGATGGTTTTTTAACCAGTTAACATCGTTAAGCAAGGCACCACTGTATCAGATTATTAGCAGAATGGGGGATCAAGCCTGTACTTGAGAGTTCCATTAGAATGGTGTAGATGAGTGGGGAAGAATACAGCCGTCATGCATAGTAACTGTTTCTTCTGCTTAGAAAGTCCTGTTCACAATTACTGCATGGTACTACATCGGAAGGACATGTTGCTGAAAGTGGACTGTACTTGCCACATCATGGCTCAGAATGAAGTGTCTTTAATTTAGGACATTGTGGCTCGGAATTTCCCAGGTAGCTATTTGCCTGGGTTCACAAAATAGTTGTTGATACTAAGTAGCATGGAATGTAGACAGATCTATATGCTGTGATGCATCTTTTGAATTTTTCTGCACCTTATGACCAATGTTTAGCTTAAGCAGTTCAAAATAAAACAATACAGTGGTGCCCCGCTTAACGATTACCCCACTCCATGACAAATCCGCTTAGTGATTAGGTTTTTGCGATTGCAAAACAATGTTTAGATAGCAAAAAAAGCTTTATGATGATCAGTTCCCTGCTTCGGGAACTGATTTTTCACTTTAAGATGATCAAAACAGCTGATCATTTTTGTTTCCAAAATGACCACCCGCTGTGCAAAATGGCTCCTCGCTGTGTTAGGGATGGATTCTTCTCTCTACAGGGAGCAGAAAATGGCTGCCATATGGAGGATCTTCGCTTTATGATGAGGTATTTCTCCCATTAGAATGCATTAACCGGTTTTTAATGATTTCTAATGGGCTTTTTACTTTCGCTTGACGACGATTTCACTCTGCAGCGATTTCGCTGGAACGGATTAAATGTCAAGCGAGGCACCACTGTACTTCATTCATTCTGAAATCTTTTTTGCACTGTTGTACTAGTCTGCTTGTATCTAGCTAATATATATTTTTCTTGTAATGCTTCCTTGCTTGTACAGTCAAAGGAAATATATTGCAGGGGTTGTATTCCTGTAGCTGTAAAGTGATAGTAAAGTTGGAGAACAATTTAGACCTGATGCTTAGTATGTATGTAATTTACTTAGTGTTGTGCTCAATTTAATATCACTTGTCACTATTCCTTAGAGCAGGGATTTGCAACACAATCCATGGTACATAATGAAGTGATATTTCGTGATAGCCAGTTGAAAAAAATGCCATGTTGTCTTTAATTAAAAGCTGCCAGAGGTGTGTCTGTGGTGTAATATTTTGCCATGAGCCAACAAGGCTTGTCTCACAGACCTATTAGTTTTATGAATATTCCTGGGGTTATCACTTTTGAGCCTAATTTGTGTTCATACTACTGATACTTATATTTCAAACAACTGACACTGCTTGTATTTTTAATTGTCTCAAAAAACCTACTCTTGTATGCATCACTGTGCTTATACATGGTCTGCTGTTTTTGTAGAACTCATACTTGTATTTTAAATTGATACGGTGATGGTCTTTGCTGTGTTCAAGATGAATCAGCAGTAGGCAAAATGTGGATTTTCAGGTCTTGTTGGACTGTAGATATTCTTGTGCTAGATCCACACAGATCTCTGTTAAGTTTTTTAATCCAGGATAATGTAATCTTTAAACAGGGATTAGGATTACAGTGGTGCCTTGCATTGCGACGTTAATTCGTTCCGTAAAAATAGCTGCAGAAAACTTCGCTATGCGATATTAAAAAGCCCATAGAAACGCATTGAAATCCCTTCAATGCATTCCTATGGGCTTAAAACTCACTGTTCAACGAAGATCCTCCATAGTGCTGCCTCTTAAGCGAGGAACCCATTCCTAAACACAGCGGGCGGCCATTTTGTTTACCTGGCAGCCATTTTGAAACCGCCAATCAGCTGTTTTAAAATCATCGCTTTGCGATGCTCGGTTCCAGAAGCAGGGAACCGAGCATCGCAAAGGGAAATTCCCCCATAGTGAACGTCGCAAAGCGATCGCTTTTGCAATCACAAAAAATGTGTCGCAAAGCAATTTCATCACTAAATGGAACGATCGCTATGCGAGGCACCACTGTACTAGGTGCCATCTGATTGAATGTTGCTGATGGTTCTGGATCCATAGGAAACCGTTTAAGTGATATGCTAATGGTGCCCTTCTTCTTTTGGCTCTTGTTACCGCTTTGCATGCTTTCCACAGCTAGCCTCAGTATTACTTCACAAGCAGAAAAGCCAAAGTGTACAGAACTCATTATTTGTTCTTCTGGACCTTTTTCAGAAAATAAAGACTAGTGTGCTCAGATTCAAGGTTGATAAAAAAGTGAACCTCCAGGGATTGGTAGTGCCTGTTGACAGGTATCTCGCAATATCAGTGCTCATCAATGCATCACTTTTTGGGGATCATCAAAAACATTAAGAACATCACACTTCTGATTATTGGTTCAAATGAATTTTAGCAAACGAGTATATTTGGCTCTGTATACATTTTAAACAGCTAACTGTGAAGTTCTAATAGTTTCTGCTTTTCTGCAGGTGGTATGGCCAAGAAAAAGATTACAATGTTCTAGTCATGGACCTTCTTGGGCCGAGCCTTGAAGATCTCTTCAACTTCTGTTCTCGCAGGTTCACAATGAAAACAGTACTTATGTTAGCAGATCAGGTAAGTGCATCTGCAAATGCTACACAGTGGATATTGCAGTGCCTTAAAATTCTGTTTGCTTCATACTTCCAAGTAGGTCAGACTGCAAGACTTGGTATTACATGTACTCTAGTGAATACTTGACCCAGATAGAAACAAAAAAGGAGCAATACTAGCAGATTACTCTGTGTGAAGCACAAAACTAGCATTGGAGAAAATGCTTAGCGAAACAATGCAAGTGGCCATTTTAAGTATTTGGCCTCATGTACTTATTTGTTTTATATTGCACAGTTGTATGTGCAGCTTTGACAGTGGGGCAACAATAGAGCTTCACTGCATATTTCTGAGGTTGCTATTGTCTTCTACATACCGTATCTTTGAATACAGTGGTGCTCGACTTACGAACTTAATCCGTATTAGAATGGCGTTCGTAAGTTGAACCACAATTTCCCATTGAAATGCATGGGAACGGTATTAATCCATTCCAGCATTTCAAATAAAAAACCCCAAAAATAAAAATAAACAGAGAAAGTCACCAAAAACAAAACAAGACAACGAAACAACACCGACCCTCAATGCCCCAATACCAACAAAACAAAAAACTTTTTTAAAAAAGCAGCACCGTACCGGTCTGAAGCCTTCTCAGCCTCCTGGGCTTCCATCTCTGTTGCTATTGCCGCGGCCAGTAGGCTTGAGTCTGGCCGGGTTTCTTCGGCCGCTTGCCTTCCACTTGCTCCGCGCCACCCTCCGTGGGCCGATGGCGGGAAATTCGAATGGCGGAGGGTGTCGAGGAGCAAATGGGAGGCGAGCAGCTGAAGAAATCCAGCCAGCTCAAGCCTCCCGGCGCTCTGCTGCCTCCACTGCAGCAGGGGGCAAGTAGCTAGGCGCCCAGCCAGCTCAAGCCTCCCGGCGCTCCACTGCCTCCGCCACGGACACAAGCCTCCCGGTGCTCCGCTGCCTCCACCACGGACGGGGGTGAGTGGCCAAGTGCCTGGCCAGCTCAAGCGTCCCAGTGCTGTGCTGCTGGGAGTGAGTGGCTGCTGCGGATGGGGACGAGCGGCCAAAGCACCCAGGAGGCTCAAGCCTCCTGGCTCTGGGCTACCTCAGCGCATTCCTTTCCCTAACTGTTGGGGCGAAAGAGCTACAAAGAAGCAGCCTCTTCACCACCAACAGTTCAGTAAATTCAAATTTCACGCCCTTTCCCCGCCTTACTGTGTTTGTAAGTCGAAGCTCTGTTCGCAAGTCGAAGCAAGATTCTGCGACCGGAGCCGTTCATAACTTGAAATGTTTGTAAGTGGAAACGTTTGTAAGTCAAGGTACCACTGTAGGTGGTAAACTGAAACCAAGTGAAATTAGGAACAATGAGGGCAGCATTCACTTTAGCAGGGTTGCGTTGAAGAAACTTTTAACTGGGATAGTGTGTTGTTAATAATTTCCTCTTGTATTTGCTTTATGTTTTAATTGCATTTATCTTCAGTTTTCTTGTAAGCAGTCTTGAGTCCCCTTTGAGGGAATAAAGGCAGAATATTAGTAAATAAACGTTGGGAAAGAATTTGCATTATATAATCTGGAATGCCAGTCAGCACTGGTACATTTACTGTGAAAATTCCTCCTTCATTGAAATAAAGACTTGCTCCCAAGTTGACAATTTCTAGTCACATTTCATATTAATTATTTGGAAGATTGCAAATAGTTTTAGGCATTTTTAGGAAGGGACAGTATTGACAGGCTTCTGGTTCACTTCTCAGTGAATTTATCATTGAATGCTTTTAGGATTGATGTGGTGGCACAGTTAGGGAGAATAATTTCTCTTGAAGTAGTAGTTTCAGCAAAATACAAGTGAAGTCCTCTACTGCTTAAACCAGTTTGGGTACAGATTACTTCTGTTTGCAAACTGAGCTGTAAACACATAGTGAACGTTATACACAGGTGCTCATTGTATGGAGAATTCTAGTGGAAGATACAAATTCTTAATTATATCAAAATTTTCATAAGTTTCTACTATTGCAATAATAGAATGAAATTCTTCAAGCACTTTTAGTCTTTATGGGAAAATTAAGTACTATTGATCTGTAGAAAGTACGGTGGATAACTGTTCAACTGAGTTGTACAGTTCATAGGTCTCATCAAAGGTGGAAAAAGTTCTAAAATGATTTATCTTTGTCTCATTTTTTACATCACAGACACTTGACATGTAAACTTTTTAAATCCACTGTAAAGTCACAAAATATAGTAAAATCAAGTAATAGAACCGCGTTAAAACAACAACATAACTCATTAAAATTTCTAGGTATAGTTTACTAGGTAAGTTGTCAGAAAAAAGTCTGAACAAACAATTCTTCAGCTGGTGGTGCAACTTGGTAGTGGTAGCCTGTTGGATCTTAGTGGGGAGATCATTCCGTATCATGGGTTCTAGAGTGGAACAAATCTTTTTCTGCACTGTAACCAAACAAATGTCATAGGGACTGTATTAGTACCTAGGGAAATGATCTCTTGGATAAATTAATTTTCATGAGCGCTATTACTGGTTTTGATTTCTGAGAAGTAACCAACTATAATATTTATACTAGTACTTGTATTTTGGTGTTTAGATTATTGCTAGACATGCTTAAATATGTGCCCCAAATACTATTTCTTTAAAAGCATTGAAACCTTGACCATTTTCTTCTGTTTACAGATGATCAGTAGAATTGAATATGTGCATACAAAGAATTTTATACACAGAGACATTAAACCAGATAACTTCCTAATGGGTATCGGGCGTCACTGTAATAAGGTTAGTCTGATATATTTTTTGCATGAAAGAACAAAAGATAATGCCTCTGAAAATGGTAGTTCCTGGAAATGCTGTGCTGCTAATTGCTTGTCATTAGTAAACGTGTCATATTTGGCAAGACTTGGGAATTGCAGTTATGCTGCTACGTGCAGAAATGAGCTGTGCCTCCAGCCTTTGGCCAGATATTAAATTAAATTAAATTAAATTAAATTAAATTAAATTAAATTAAATTAAATTAAATTAAATTAAATTAAATTAAATTAAATTAAATTAAATTAAATTAAATTAAATTAAATTAAATTAAATTAAAAATAAATAAGTAAGTAAGTAAATAAATAAATAAATAAATTGTATAAATGACTCTTGATTGAGCACCTAAGCTCAGTCTGTTCAGTGATACTTCTGATTATCTAGAATCAGTATATTGCGGTAGCACCACTTATCATAAACTGCAATTTCCTATTGTACAGTGCATTTATGCCAGCATGGTGGAGACTCAACTACCAGCTACATAAATTTTAAATTGGCTGCAATCAATTTTGTAGAAAATCCATTGGCTTCTAATAATAAGTCTGTTGATTGAATTGCTTCCTGTGCTTTCACAACCTTGTGGAAGTTCAGAATGCAGTTTGTGATAGATGTAGATTAACAGCTTCAGATTTGAACTACTGTTAACTTTTTAAAACTGGGTTTGGGGCAAAATGGGCTAATGCATTAATTTAGTTGGAGATGCATGTTTCCTTCTGAAACCTTGATCATTTTTGTTGGAAAATATTTTTTCACTAGCTTCTGAGAGAAAAGTTGCTATTTCTGAGCTCGGGCAGACAGGCAGCATTGGCAGTGCATGCTGTTAATCAGAAATTCTCAAGTGCAGGGCAAATGTAGTGAATTTCTTTTACTAAGAGCAAGATTCCCACATGGGCTCTTCATAGGCAATCAGTGTCGATCTTTTCAGATAGTACTAGTTATACAATGTTACCTTTGTTTGCCTGTATGAATGCCAACTTGGGGCCACATTTTAGGAGGGTAGAAAGAAAATTCAGTAGTCAAATGCAAAAGGAAAAATGCCTTTCTGTAATGCTCTCTCTGATAAACTTCATTTATTGTAAGTCTCATGCTCTAGCATTTAATTTTCTTAGCATGGTCCAGTTCTTTAACTTTGTCAGAGAAAAACAAATGTAATTAACAACTGCTAAGCTAGTTATACTCTGATTTTTCTTTTTTGGGCCCCTTTTCCACAATTTTGAAAGTCATAGTGTGCTGGCATTGTAGTACCTTGTCTTTCTTTAAAGGGGGAAATGTCGCCTGTAAAACATGATTGTGCTTTATTTGGTGATCTTGTTAGGATCACATTGGAAGATGTAAGCTGGACTACATTACCTGTTTTCAAGAAGCTTTTCAGGATCAGTGCCAAATGCTTAAATAGTGGGCATCTGCTTTCTGTTTAACATTTCAAATAATGTTGGACATAGGAGTGTAAATCCCTTGGTTTAATCTAAGGAGAATTTAAATAAAGTTTTTCTGTAAGCCTATATAAACACCTGCTCCTTTTAGAAAGAAAGTTAGCTTTTATTTGCAGCATGCAGTTTTCTTCTAGCAAAAATGCAGGTAAATTTTGTTATTCGTTGTCTTTTATGACATGCAAGTCAAGTTAGGGTGCTATGGTAATCTTGTTCCAGTAATATTTTTAACTAACTAAAAATGTAGTGAGTAAAATTGGAATGCTGAATTTCTTGAATTAATTTGACTTTCTTTAGTGATTTCATTCCTAGCATAGGATGATCTTTGAGCTCTGCTAGAATAAGCCCTGCATGCTTATGAAAGTGAACGTAAGGTGACTAAATGCCTTCTACCTCTTCCTTACTGAAGATCTAGTTTTTACTTGTTTGGGGGAAGGGCAGTTTGTGTAACCAAAGGAAATGTTTATTTGTTCATTAAATCCAAATTACCTTTTTGGTAAAGCCAAATGTTGCCATTGCTATCCCTATACAAGGCAGTGTCATTTTGGAGTGGCTCATGCTCAGAATTTATCTTGCCACATCTTCTAAATTTTTTCTTACGATATGATATCCTCTAGAAAACTGTAGTGCTTGGTGGAAGAAGGATGGCATTTGGCTACCCTATTCTTTCTCTAACGCCTCGGTGTTGCCTGTCTGCGCCAGCCAATGTTGCATTGTAAGCAATACTGTTTGATGCACTGCCACCCTCTATTGTTTGTTTAGTGTTTAGAATCTCCAGTGGGGAAGAGGAAAAGAAGCATGACTGTTAGTACTTCTCAGGACCCATCTTTCTCAGGATTAAACCAGGTCTGAATCTGTCTCCTATTCCAACCTCAATCCCAAACTCTCATGCTTTTTTGTTTTGTTCAGAAGACACGTAGACTTGCAAAAAGCACCTTATGTTGGCATTATTCAGACATACTTGGCAAACATGTAACATTACTAAGATGTTTACTTGGCAGTGCTTGCTAATATTTTTTCCTGAACATTTAAATGTGAAACATGTTGGGTGTCCTTTATCTAAATGATTTGTGTGAAGTACTTGAGGAATAGCTCTGTGTTCTAAAATAAAATAACGAGGAATCACATATGCCTGTTATGTGTGCATGGTCTGCATCTGGGTGGGGGAGTTCTCAGTGACATTTGTTTTCCTTAGATTTGCTTTGAGTATAGATCAAGAAATTAAAGTAATAAAAATATATTTTTTATTCCCAAAGCTATTATATCCCATTGAATTGGCACAAGATTTCTTAAGCTTCAATTTTGTTTGCTCATGAAAGCTATGCTTTTTAAGGCGCTACACATTCAAAATTCAGTAGCTGAAGTAGATAGAATTTCATTATATAAAGCCTCTTATTAGGCTGGGATTAGCAAATGATTGATAGAGTGCTATCGATCCCACTTGTGAAACTGTTCTGATCTAGTTTTTAAACTGCTTATTGGTAATACTAAATCAGGATGAACTGGAATATGCATCAGATGGAGTGGGTGGAGTCTTGGAATCATATGTGTCATCTTTTAGCATGACTTTAGGAGAGTCTAGGGTTTGTTTTTTCAATTACTTCAATGACTTGCGGTTTGAAATAGACTGGTTAGTTTAAACAAGCTAGCTAGCTTATTTATTTCATTTATTTAAAATAGTTTTACTCCACCTTTCTCATAAAAAAGGAACCAAAGCAGGTTATATCATTAAAAACACAAAACTTAGGTTGTTTAATCAATTATACTGTTTTACATTATGATTTTGCAGTTTATTTGTATCTTACATAAAAATTGCAAGATTGCACTGTAAAAGGCAGACTAGCTTTCATGGAAGTCCATTTAAATTCTAGCAACACTCTCCCTATTCATGTCGGAGGAGGAGGAATGTAAAATCATGATGGTTGACATGGATTCATTCACGATTATGCCCATACATCAAACCATGGTCTAGAGCTGTCTGTGGATCAGCTCATGGAGAAAACTAGATGTTGTGCCATTTTATAGTATGCAACAATATATTATATAGTTACAAAACTATGTAAGTAAAAAATAAGAGAGGTTATGTCTCAAATGTACATGGCTATTCATGAACAGTAATTTGCTTGTGGCCTTGGAAAGGGTAATATAATGATCTCAGAACTGCAAACCTGGAAAGGATTTATGGGTCATCAAGGCCAGCCCACCAAGAAGACACAGTGGGGAATTGAACTCCTAATACCTGGCTCTGCAGCCAGATGCCTTAAACCACTGAGCTATCCACCAGTGGTATAATTCTAATGTTTAGTCCTAATAGAATCTTTCCTTCCAAGGCAAATACAGTGGTGCCTCGCTTAACGAGCGCCCCGTTTAAAGATGAATCCGCATACCGATGTGGATTTTGCGATCGCTTTTGCGATCGCATTACTATATTGACTGTGGGGAAAAATTGCTTTGCGATTTTTCCCCATAGCCCAATTTTCCCCCAGCTGAGCGGCGGGAGCTTTGAAGCCCCGC